GAGGAAAGGCTGCGTGAACTGCACCTCACGTCGCTATAAAACAGAAGAGCTCGGAGAGACATGATCACCACATCCAAAACTCTCAGGGGAATTGACAGGGTATCTAAAGATAAGGCTGGACTATTTAACACGGGTGGTGCACGCACAAAGGGACACAGGTGGAAGCTGAGTACCCAAATGAGCTACAAAGACATTAGAAAGAACTTTTTCAGTGTCAGAGTAGTTAGTAAATGGAATGCACTAAGCAGTGATGTGGTGGAGGCTGACTCCATACACAGTTTCATATGTAGATATGATCTACATATCTGAATCTGTACGCCAGTAGATCGACGGTTTAGAGGCGGGACCAAAGAGCCAAAGCTCAACCCACAAGTACAACTAAGTATACACACACACACACACACACACACACACACACACACACACACACACACACACACACACACACACACACACACACGTCGGGTGGAGCCTGGTAGCCAAGTGGATAGCGCGCAGGATTCATAATTCTGTGGCGCTGGTTCGATTCCCACATCAGGCAGAAACAAATGGGCAAAGTTTCTTTCACCATGAATGCCCCTGTTACTTAGCAGTAAATAAGTATCTGGGAGTTAGTCAGCTGTCACGGGCTGTTTCCTGGTGTGTGTGTGTGTGTGTTGTGTGGAGAAAAAAAAAGTAGTTAGTAAACAGTTGATTGACAGTTGAGAGGCGGGCCGAAAGAGCAAAGCTCAACCCCTGCAAACACAACTAGGTGAATACAACTAGGTGAACACACACACACACAAACTCACGCCCCTGGAAGACAGAAGAGTAAGGGGAGACATGATACCCACCTACAAAAGTCTCAGGGGAATTTTGGTCTGCCTCCACCACATCACGTAGGTAGTGATGTGGTGGAGGCAGATTCCATAAACAGTTTCAAATGTAGATATGATAGAGCCCAGTAGGTTCAGGTATCTGTACACCAATTGATTGACATTTGAGAGGCGGGACCAAAGAGCCAAAGCTCAACCACCGCAAGCACAACTAGGTGAGTACACACACACACACACAAAACTCTGAGGAATTATAACGAATGTGGTGATCTCCCAGAACTACACCGTAATAAGGAAAGAGAGGGAAAGAAGGGGGAGGAGGCAGAATGACCCTACTGATGAGAAAGGAATGGAGTTTCGATGAGATGGTTATTCCGGGCGGCGAGGGGTTCAGAGACTACATAACAGGCATCACGATGATGGGAGGACCAAGTGCAGTAGTAGCAGTGATACATAACCCAACACAAAATGACAAAAGACCCAGGCAGGAGTATGACAGGAACATCATGGCGGTTAACACTATAATAGAGAGAGCAGCCGCTACTACCTGTAAAAATCGATCCCATCTGCTCATCATGGGAGACTTCAATTACGGACAATAGACCGGGAAAACAAGGAACCGCGTGGAGGTGAGGAAACATGGAGAGCTAAATTATTGGTAGTGGCGACAAATAACCTGGTTAGTGAGAATGTCAGTAGACCCACAAGAATGAGAGACAACGATGAACCAGCGATACTCGATCTAGTCTTCACTTTGAACGACTTACAAATAAGTGAAATCGGTTTCGAAGCCCCCGTGGGAATAAGTGATCACAATGTACTGATGTTTGAGTACTTGACTGAAGTAGGGTTAAGGTACTCAAGGAAGGGGCCCAAAAAACAAAAGGCCGGCATTCCGGAAGGGAAACTATGAGGAGATAAGGAAATTCCTACAGATTTAGCTTGAGAAACAGAGCTCAGAGGAAAGACGGCCAAGGATATGATGGACTACATCATGCAGAAGTGTAAGGAGGCAGTAGACAAGTTCATCCCATTCCATAAGGAGAAAATTAAATGCAGACAAGAAACCCATGGCTTAACAGAGATGTAAGCTAGCAAACCAAGTACAAGGGCGTGGAGAAACTTTAGAAATAACAGGACACCTAGAGGGCAGAGAAAGATACTTGAGCGCCAGGAATGAATACGTTAAGGTGAGAAGAGTTTCAGAGCGACAATATGAAAATGACATAGCATGCAAGGCAAAGACATCCTAAATTGATACACGGCCACATCAGGAGAAAAATAACAGTGAAGGAACAAGTAATGAAACTTAGGATTGGGGCAGACAGATTCACTACGAACGACAAGGAAGTGTGTGAAGAATTCAATAAGAAATTCCTGGAAGTCTTCACAGTAGAGCAAGGAGAAGTCCCAGAGATAAGAGAGGGAATATCTAACCAGACATCACTAGAGGAGTTTGTGATTACCAGTAGGGAGGTGAGGAACCATCTGCTAGATTTGGATATGACAAAGGCTATAGACCCAGATGGAGTCTCACCATGGATACTACCATGACTACATAACAGGCACCACGATGCTCTTTGTATGGTTTGGCACTAAGGAAAGAGCAGAAAATCTGTGCCTGCCACTATCCCTGGTGTACAACAAATCACTGGTAACATCAGAAAAGCCTTCAGAAACCTGTATAAGGAATCCATCAGAACCTTGTATACCACATCGTAGGGGCCTCGTAGCCTGGTGGATAGCGCGCAGGACTCGTAATTCTGTGGCGCGGGTTCGATTCCCGCACGAGGCAGAAACAAATGGGCAAAGTTTCTTTCACCCTGAATGCCCCTGTTACCTAGCAGTAAATAGGTACCTGGGTGTTAGTCAGCTGTCACGGGCTGCTTCCTGGGGGTGGAGGCCTGGTCTAGGACCGGGCCGCGGGGACACTAAAGCCCCGAAATCATCTCAAGATAACCTCAAGATATCTCAAGATAACCACATATGTAAGGCCAGTCCTGGAGTATGCGGCCCCAGCATGGAACCCATACCTAGTCAAGCAAAAGACGAAGCTGGAAAAAGTTCAGAGGTATGCCACTAGGTTAGTCCCAGAACTACGAGGCAGGAGTTATGAGGAAAACCTGCGTGAACTGCACTTCATGTCGCTAAAAGAGAGTAGAGCTCGGGAAGACATGATCACCACCTACGAAATTCTCAGGGGGAATTGACAGGGAAGACAAGTATGGATTATTTTACACGGGTTTTATACGCACAAGGGGGTCACAGGTGGAAGCTGAGTACCCAAATAAGCCACAGAGACATTAGAAAGAACTTTTTCACTGTCAGAGTAGTTAGTAAATGGAATGCACTAGGGAGTGATGGTGGAGGCTGACTCCATACAATTTCAAATAAAGATATGATAGAGCTCGAGAAGCTCAGGAATCTGTCCACCAGTAGATTGACGGTTGAGAGGCGCAACCAAAGAGCCAAAGCTAAATCCCCACAAGCACAACTAGGTGAGTACACACACAGAGACCAAAGAACCAGAGCGCATCCACTGCAAGCACAACTAGGTGAGTACACACACAAAGACCAAAGAGCCAAAGCTTAATCCTCGTAATCACAACTAGGTGAGAGCAATACCATCTGCTCCAACCAATCCTCTAATCCCCCTCTCCTCCCCTTATCCCCCCCCACAACCATCATCCTCCCTTTACACCTCGTCTCCAGTATGATCCCCTCACCTCGCGATCCCCCAACCTCTTTACTCCTCACCTTTCCAACCACTCAGACCCACAACGCCCTTCAGAAACCCATAGCTGCCCAGACACCCATTCGCCCCCCCCCCATATCTCCCTAATTGCCTAGACCCCCATCCGCGCACCAGCAATCTGGCTCCTAGATCCCCTTAGCCTCTCATCCCCTTCCCTACTCCCGGGCACTTCCCACCTCACAACTACTTATTGGAGATTGGACTGCATTCATCTCTCCCCTTCAGAACACACAGAGGCAGACATGTGTGCAGATGAACTATATGATCTCTAGTAACAGAGTTTCCAAGAAAACTCTTAAGGTTTGGTACACCAATGCTGATGGTGTATCTAATACAGCAGAGGATTGGAGAATATTTGGGTGAAATGCAGTGGGAAGAAGAACTAAGAGGAACAACAGTGCAAGATATGATGGACTTAGTCAAGTGGAAATGCAA